CGGATGATCCAGGCCAACCCGACGAACCCGCTGCTGCTCGGCAACTACGCGAGGTTTCTCAAGAAGGTGGAGAGGGACGCAGCGAGAGCGCAGGAGTACTGCGAGCACGCCATCGTCGCCAACCCCGGCGACGGCGACGCCCTCGCGCTCTACGCGGGCCTCGTCTGGGAGACCACCCGCGACACTGACCGCACCGACGCCTACTTCACCCGCGGGAGGGGCCCCGCCACCGCTCGCCCGCCGCCGCCAAGCCGACTGCTCGACGTTGCCGCACCGTGATTCCTCCGACAGGGCGACGCCGACGCCGGCCTCCCCGCGCCTCGCCGCCACCACCAAGCCGACGCTGACGCTAGATTTGTAGAGATCGCCGGCCTCCCCGTCGCCTGTCGCTAGCCGAGAAAAGAGATGATGACGTGGAGGGATAGGAGGGGAAAGAAATGTGGGGCCCATGTGGGTCCCAAGCTGACTCAGCCGCCACGTAGGCTAAAATCGGGGTCAAAACCACCGAGGGACCTTTTGTGACCGGTTTTGATTAGTTAAGGGATGCGAGATATCTGGTTTTGCGGTTTGAGGATGATTTTGTATCTCGATGACAAGTTGAGGGACCTTGAGTGTACTTTTTCCTTATTAGTTCACCCATTACGTCGGCCGTCGAATGAGTGAGGCTCACAGCCCAAATCAGAGCAAAGTATAATATAGATGGCCATAAGGTCCGGCCCAGGCACGGCTAGCCAAGGCCCACCAGCCATCGGGCCGGCACGGCCTGATCGGCACTTTGTGTCGGGCCAGGCCAGCCCATGGGCTGCACCTCCGGCCTAGGCACGGCCCACCAGCAGTCGGGCCGTGCCGTGCCGGCCCGAAGGAACGCGGGGCCCATCATACCTTTTTAAAATAAGTCTATTTTCTTTCCCTCTTCTTTGGGCTGGATATATATATAATGACAATAAGTCTATTTTCCCTCCCTCATATTTGGGCTAGCATATATATAGCTAAAATAAGTCTATTTTTCATCACTATTATTTGGACAGTGGTATATAATATGTCTATTTCTACTCCCTATTCTTTATTTGCCAGGCCTGGCATGCCGGCCCGTCATGCCGTGCTGGCCCGGTCGTGCCGGGCTGGCCCAACGTGCCGGTGGGGAGGCCCAGGCACGGCCCGGCGGTCGGGCCGGGCTGGCACGGTCCCGATGGTCGGGCCGTGCCATGCTTGGATCGGGCCAAAATACCGTACCGTGGGCCGGGCCGTCGGGCCTCGGGCTTTTTGCCATCTACTCCCTCCGTCCCAAAAAATGACAAACCCTGGGTTTCCGTGTCCAACTTTGACTGTCCGTCTTATATGAAATTTTTTTATAATTCATATCTTTATTGTTGTTAGATGATAAAACATGATTAATATTTTATGCGTGACTTGTCTTTTTAATTTTTTTCATAATTTTTTTAAATAAGACGGACGGTCAAATATTGGGCACGGAAATCAGGGTTTGTCTTTTTTTTTAGACGGAGGGAGTATAAAGTATAGGCAACTGCTAATATCTAGCCTATCATTTCTCTTTTCTCGTAAAGCTCGTTGGACCCTGTACTTTATATAGTTACTAGTTGGTTATAGATAGTAGTAGTAGTTTGTTTCTCTTTTCTCCTCTATAACACAGCGGTCAGCACAAATCTAATTCTACAGCCTGTATAGCTTGCTTACATCATCTTTTATTTTTATTATTATGTGTGCTCTCACTAGTCTAAGGTTATGTTCAAATCAAGAATCGACGTGAGCTTTATCGACTACACATAATAAAACGGTGCAAGTGATCAGGATAAGATCAATTGAGAACTTGAAATTTTAATTTATCTGATGTTTGAAAGACCTTCGATATAGAATGTTTTCGGAAAACATACCGTTTAGTGTTTAGAGAAGTGTGCTCATGATAAACGTGGAAAAAGCTCCCTCTAGTAACACACATTCTAAAGACAAGTTGGGGTGAGCTACTCTATCATCTTAAGCAAGCACACTTCGCAAAACTACTAAACGATATATTTATTAAAGATAACCTTTTATTCTCAAAGGGATTAGTTGTGGTGGTAGTGAGCGGTGAATCTACTATCATCTTATATTGTCTATTTTCACTCCAAATCAAACATACAATAGAAGAGTAGAAGTCACGACTAGACCCTGGAGCTCTCAATCATGATCATCCTTGCACGCCGCTAATAACTGGATTATTTTTTTACGAGACTGGTAACATAAGAACAAACAATCCCTAATTAATTTAAAACTACATAAATGCTGGGGGACGGGATCCTGTTCACCATCCTCCTCACGGGTTGCCCTAATTCCATGGTGAGCATGGAGGGGATGAAGGCGGACCCGCTCCTCACGAAGACAATGAGGTCGCCCAGTTGAGGTGGTCCCACTCCTCCAGGAAGTCGAAGATCTCTAGTGTCCTTCTCACCTCCCAACCACTCCTTCCCTCCAACGACACAGTGCCGCCTTCCTACCACATCGCCAACGACAGGTTTCTTTGTGTATGCAGTGTTGCTTCCTCTCCTATGGCAGCAGCAAATGATTTCTTCGCGGCGATGGTAGTGGCGCCATGTCCAATAGCCGAGCGGCGATGGTCCAAGAGTCAGGTGCGAATGAGCTCCTCAGATGCCGGATTTCTTTTTGCGGGAGATGGTAGTGGAGCTCCTCGGGCAATAGATTTCTTCACGGAGATGGTAGCGACGCCACATCTAGGAGGTGCACACCAAGGGTGGCAGCGGCGCCCGCGTCTAGGAACTTGGCACGGCCAAGCTTTACGCCGTCACCAACGTCCTCTTCGTCTCCTAGTCACTCCTCCCCTCAATGCTCGGCTCCTAATATCTTGTAGGTACCACTCTGGTATCAACGAGTATCATGTGGTATCAACAGGTACCAACACCTAGATATAAGATGATACTTAAAGGTATCACCTGATACCTCGCAATGCAAGTATCACCTGATACCTAGTAAGAATCGTATGATACTTGGTAAGCATCATCTGATACCTAACCGGTGCCATCCCATCCGAACGGGATTCCTTTTATAGCATCCCCTGAAACTAAGCTCTGAAACTCAAAATAGATTTCCTCTCTGTAATACTCTGATGTGATCTTTTAAATTATGTGGCAACGATGGGTATTTTGCTAGTTTCCTTTTAAAAATCAAATAAATCCAATTTCAAGTGTATAATAGCTAATTCTATCGCCATCCTAAAATAACTTTATTTTTCACCCATTCACACATACCAATATAAAGAAAAAAAGATTAGAATGCCCTCAACTTTATCAAATCCTAATGCAATTGTCTCTCATTTTATCTAGGCCTAATGCATGTGTTCCTAATTTCTCAAATTTCAATACAATCATTGTTTGAAAGATGAAATTATTTGAAAGTTAAAGTTATTTTAGGATAGATGGAGTAGTTACTTAATTATGTGCTACTCATCTCATTTTTCCTGCCAGGAAAAACTCAGCCACATCCTCTGTTTCGAACGCAGCTCTGATTGGCCGCATGCAAAACAAAAAAGCCCATCTAGGCGCCGCAAACAGCCCAAACAGTCTTACAGGCCATCATACTATCAAACGGCGCATGCCGGTCCAAAATGTCACCGCTCCATCGCAGATTCGCAACCAATATCCATCGACCTCACCAGCGACGCAAGGGGATCGAAATTCCGTGAGATATCCCAGTAAGAAAAACAAAAAGAAAACTAGCGATTATGTTTGCAACCCGGAGCAATTACGAAAGATACAACGGTACTACTCCCTCCGTTTCATCATATTATAAGATTTTTCTAGCATTACGCATATTCATATAAATGTTAACGAATCTAGATATATACGTATATATATCTCTAAATTCATTAACAACTATATAAATGTCGGTAATATTAAAAAGTCTTATAATATGAAATGGAGGAAGTATGATTTATTTGTGTGAGCAAAGATAGGGCAGGCAACACCATAGTGCTGCATTTTCTTTCAAGAACTGATCCACATCCACGAGTTGTATGTGTGTAAAATGAAGTTCTCTTTGCGACCATGAAAGCTGATAGTCGATGATGTAACGCACAATCGAGTCGAGTGTGTCCGCAAAACCTGCAACTGCAAGGGGCAAGTAACATCTCTTCACGTTCTGCAAAATTGATTAGTTGATTATTCCATTGCCTAATCAATGAAAACTTGCATGGATTGCTTCCATCAAATCGGCAGCGAGAAGAAATAATAATAGTGATTCCGAAAAGTCAAACTACAGACATGCTTTTGGTTTGTATTGTGTTGACTTGAGTCCTTGGCAACCCAAAAGCTGTAAATTTTGGTCATGCCTATGTTTTTTTAAACTGTATTGTTGCCGAATATACATTTGATAATTCGTCTTATTTTCAGCAATTATACAAATATGAAAAAAAAGTCATGCCTAAAGTATTTTTTATAAAATAGATCACAATAAAATGAATAATAATTACCTAACATTTTTAATAATACAAATGGTAGAAGTACGACAAAAATCAACAGTAACCTATGTTAAAAACCGGGAGTACTATTAGAGGGAGTACTACTTGTACTATTTAGATTACTTGACCCTACCACCACCACCAGCACAGAATACTCGCATTAACATAATCAGAATACATATGTTGGGTAGAAACACATAATGGCATCAATTACCATAATATTAACAAAAATACTCAGAAAAAATAATATTGGAAAATAAACAAAATTGATTAAACATGTTCTATTTTTGTTTATAAAGACAATAGGTGGAATTTGATCTGGAAATGTTGAATGGCCATGAATGCAAATGAGGACATCAGGTAGGTAAATTTATTACTTAGTCATGCTGCAGAGTAGAAGCAATTTCATTAAAAAGAAGGAACTATATATAATATACAAGTCAACTCAAGAGGTACAACGTGCAATGCACAATTAAATCATTTTGATTCCAATTTTGTAGAATGAACGGGAAGCAACTCCAGATCATCTACACAACAACTCCTCTATACATGCATGCCATAAACACTGGCCCCAATTACTTAACAGAAAAAAAAAAAAAGAGAAGAGAGCAGTATCTAGTTCTGCCTTGTTCTTGCTCCTTATATAAACAGCCATTGCTTGCTGGTGACAACATATCGATCGATCAGGCGACGACAACCGCAGCATCAGAGAGAGCCGATCGATCGATCGATCTACCACAAGGGAAGCATGAAGGCTAGCTCCGTAGCATTGCTCGCCGCCGTCATGGCGGTCGCGGCGGTGGCCTCGACGGCGGTGGCCAAGGACTACACGGTCGGCGGCTCCTACGGCTGGGACACCTACGTCGACTACGACAAGTGGGCCGCCGGAAAGACGTTCATCGTCGGCGACACCATAAGTAATTAATTTCCATTGCAATGCACGTAGACCCCGTTCTGATTAAGATGTACATTTTCTCTCGATTTCTATTAGCACGTTTTTCAAACTACTACTAGTACGTGATATGTTTCTTGCAAATAATTTCTATATAAGTCGTTTTGGAATATCAACTAAATTTATTTATTTATTGTAAATAATTAAAACACAATTAATCATATGCTAATAGCTTTCTTATTCTTAATCTATCTCAAATGCCATTGTCCATCGATAATTAATTACTGGTTGATTGATCAAACGAGCTCATCATTGAGATCAACAATGGCGTGCAGCGTTCAAGTACGAGCCGTACCACAACGTGGTGGAGGTGCCGGCTGAGACGGACTACGACGGCTGCGTCTCGACCAACCCCGTCTCCGTCCACTCCGGCGGCAACACCACCTTCGAGCTCGCCGCCGCCGGCACGCGCTACTTCATCTGCAGCATCCCGCGCCACTGCCTCAACGGCACCATGCACGTCAAGGTCACCACCGTCCCTTACTCCGCCTCGGCCGCCGCCGCCGCCGCCGCGGACGCCGGCCCTTCCCCGGCGCCGCTCCCCTCGCCTCCCGCCGACGAGCAGCAGCACAGGTCGAACTCGGCGTCGTCGCCGGCGGCCGGCCCGAGCAGCAGCGCGGCGTCCACGCCGCGGCATCGGAAGCAGCCGGCGGTGGCCGTGGCCGGGCTGGCCTTGGCTGCTCTGGTGGCCATGGCCGCCTAAACGATATAAAAAGAAATTAATATCGTTTTATATTTCTTATTGATTTTAATTACTATTTACATGTGGCGTACGTAAATACACGGGTTTCTACGTATATTTATCGAGGTGTGGTGAAACTTCTCTTGCACCAGAGGCGTTTTGTTACTCGTTTTGAGGGTTGCTGTGTATTAATTAATTGTTGTGTATACATAAGCCCTTCTGTATTTTGCAGTTCCATTTATTAAAGAGAAGATTCTTGCTGTTTCATTTTGAAGGTATTTGCTGCTATATTACTAAACAGTAAAATTTTCTGCGTTGATCAACATAATGTTTGTGTTTACATGTGCTATTCGATTTGTTGAGTACAAGGCAAACCTGGAATTAAACACAAGCATCTCAAAGATAATTTAATTTGAACCGCGAGGAGATCATGTTAGGCAAATTACAAGTAGCAAACTCCCTGAACATGATCAGGATTGCATGCCGATGAAAGAAAAGGAGAAAAATCGCAAAATGGTACTAAAATAATGGAATATTTTATTCCCTGACGGCTAATACCATAGATGCCAGGGAGCATGTAGAGCACGTCTTGCTGTGAGGTGAACACGTTGCACCAAACAGCGCACATATTGTTTTCCTTTTCTTCGGACATGGCCACCAATAACCCAATTATATATTGTTTTCCTTTTCTTCGGACATGGCCACCAATAACCCAATTATGCTTCTCAATGGTCAAAACACGGTGGGATATAATTATATGGCATCTAATTCTCATTTAATTGGACAGATGGAATTTATTTACTAATATGTAATATACAACGGTGTCATCTTTCGTCAGTTCACATGTCACCGGTTGATACTTCGATACAGCGAAGCTTCGGTTTAATCCTGGGATTAGCTAGGTAGTTTAAACACTGACGACCAAACTGGGCTTGAATGGAAGGCAGTTTCACCTCTTTCCTACAAGGCGAGGCAAATTGATCTTTGCTTTGACTTATGCAACAGGAGGGCATGACTTGGTGTCATCTGTGGTATCAACATCAGAAGGCGGCATGAACTGCCACATCGGAAATCCTGGGTAGCCAATCACAGGCATCATCAGCTTCTGCCCGGCAGCTTGCCCTTGAGGAGCAGTGAATGCACTGGCTGGGATAACCGGAGGGTGTGGTACGAAGCTTGGTCGAGCATTCAGGAACTTTATCTGCTGCTCCAGGCTCTCTTTCTCTGCCTTCAGCTTTTGCTTCTCATCACGCAGCTCGTTTTTCTCAGCCTGCAAAATTGAAGGACATGATGCTTAGTTTGTCCTTTGGATTTACACTTTATAGTCCATACAAACCATATAACCTAAGGTTAACACCATGCTGAGCCAACAAAACTATCAATATTGTCATTACATTTTAGACAACAATATGTACACAGCTGCTGCGGGGGTGCCCATAAAAATAGATGCATGGCAAATAATTATGAAGAGAAAATAAAAAGACATACCTTCAACTCTTTGATTTTCTCTTGGAGACTCTCATTTGATTCCTTCAACTTCTGTGCCTCACTACGCAGCTCAGCCATTACACGAATAGCATCGTTCAATATAGACGATTTGTCCATTTTGGGTGTCTTCCCTGGTTCCAGGACAGCACCCAGTTCCAAGAACCTAACAGAAATTAAGTCCATGAATTAGTTTAGAGTTAGAAAAAACAATGCTGCAACCAGAAAAATGGGTTGAATTAAAAATGATGCGAAAATTACCTCTCGTTCAACTTGTCCCTTCTTACTTTTTCCCTGCATGCTTTGGAGCTTGGTCGAGTGCCACTTTCTGATCTCGGACTAATGTTTTGTGGTGCCAAGTTAGAAATGATCAAAAGAAAACAGGAAAGGAAATGTAGATTGGATAATGGATGTGAACAAACCGTTTATTTGTTGGCTGTTCTTTGCCATGTTCACAGTCCACAGAGCCATTGATTTCAGCACTGGTGAAAAAAATAAACTTGTACTTCAGTATGCCATATGTCACGATAATATACAGCAATAAGTACATAAAAAACTATACAATGACAACAAAAGAATCAAGCAAATTTAACACAACAGAACAATACATCAGTTAAGATGCACTGTGTGGTTCATAACACCACAACCTATGGCACCAGAAGGTGGAAGCACAAGTCAAAAACCAGGACAGATTTAAAAACACATGAGATGACTTCCTGGTGCATAAAGAAAATGTACTAGCACCACAAGACTACAAGGTATCATAAATAAAAGAATACTCTTAAATCAAAGAGTTGCAGTAAACAATATCCTAACATGAACACGTTCTTCAATAAATTTCCATTCCACAGTAAGCTTCGTGCTGGAACCCAAGTGATACAGATTAACCACTTCTCTCACCCCGTTTCTGATCCTTCATAGATCATTCATTGAAAAATCCACTGGAAAGCTCAGGACAAATCTCAATACCTGGCTCAAAATATCATGTCAATGCAATTTACTTGCATATAGATACAAAAAATTTTAAAATCTGGTATCTCAGACAGTTGGACCTACAGCAAATCACAACCATCCACCCTCCCACCACCACGCCAATTTGACACCATTTGGTTTACTTGTTATCAGTTCTTATATTGTAATATTACACGGCAAACTGAATCTTGTACAATAGTGGCATCATAAACATCATCAATTATGGTGTATGTTTTCTTCAGTTCAACTATCCCATGACATGACACCAGATAAACATGACACAATGCATGCTTAGCAAACTATATATGCTATGCTATGCAGCATTTGCATCACAATTAAAATGAGAATTATAAATCATGAAGAGGCCCTAAATTAGGTTTAAATACATTACGTATGCACACAAATAAATAGATTTGAAAATGAAGCTGACAATTCAATATAACCAGGAATTGAGCCCTCTGTTCAGTAAAACAGGCTGACGGCTCCTACTAAGTTATACTACCTCCGTTTGTTAATGTATGACGTCGTTGACTTTTTGATAAACGTTTGACTATTCGTCGTCTTCAAAATTTTTGTGCAAATATAAAAAATTTAAGTCATGCTTAAAGAATATTTGACGATAAATCAAGTCACAATAAAACAAATAATAATTACATAAATTTTTTGAATAAGATGAATGTTCAAGTGTATTTTGAAAAGTCAGTGGTGTCATATTTTAGAAAACGGAGGGAGTACGTAACTAGTTCTACATGTTCAGACACACTCAATGGCTAATCCCCTAATCCGAATCCCACTGATAGTCTGATATGATACGCTTCTATCGACCTCCAATCGAACAATCAATAGCAACGATCACGATATACCCAGTCTCAACTTACGCACTAACACGCTGCCGCGACAAATCAGGACGAAAAAAAAATGTAGCACCCCAGACCACGGCACCGGGCCCAGCCAGGGCTGGCTGGAGCGCGATCGGAGGCCGTAAACCCCGCAATTACCAGGCGTTCGGAGCCGCGGTGGCAGGGGCGACGGGCTGCTGCTGCGGCGGCGGCGGCTGTAGCGCCGCCTGCGGAGGAGCGGGCGTCGTCCAGTAGAAGCCTCCGGCGGGGGCGGCGTCGAAGCCGGCGGCGGCGGCGAGGTCGTCCATCAGAGGGCAGTCGAAGACCCACGTGGAGCCCTCCGGGGAGGCCATGGCTGCGGGGGGGTGGGGCCGCTCACCGTGGCCGGCGACGGTGGCCGGAGGAGGCTAGGGTTTCGAGGTCGCGAGGAGATTTGGGGGCGGATTCGGGGCGGTGGTGCGGTGGTGGGCTCGGACGCCGAGATAAGGACAAGCGGAATAGGAGCACGAGGTGAACGGATACGGACTTTGGGCCAGACCGTAATGGGCTGAATGGACATAGGCTTTGGATGATGGAGTGATAGTGCTACGGCAACTTAAATTTTGTTTCATGAGTTGGTTCTGAAATGGAGTTGGAAAGAAAGTTTAAACCCAGCTTCACATATCTAATTTATTTTGTGATAGCGTTACATCTAACTCTTCTCTCATTTTAGATGGAACTAAAATTGTTTGGCTGAGCTCCAGCTCCACGCTGTGCCAAACAAGCCCTTAGCTTACCATACCTCCGTCACAAAATATAACAAGTAGCTAAAAATTGTTACATCATGAAATGGAGGTAGTAATAGAGACGTAGAGCCCAGGAGAGTGTTTTTGCTCGGATAAAAGGTGAAGTATTTATTCTTGAACAGAAGAAAGTTTTTTTTCTGAAAACAGAAGAGAGTGTTTTGTGTTTTTTAGTGTTATTAAAGAAGTTGTTTATAGGGATAAGGTGTGCGTATGTGTGGATTTATAAGGGTGAGTATATGTGTTTCGGGAAAAACAAAGAGGTTCGGCCAATTAGTTTAAAAAAGATATAAGTATTGTTTTATTTTAAGTATTTTTATCTTAATTTATATTTTGTCATACTAATAGTTTTTCTTTTACGATAATCATCTTCAATATTTGGGAAATAATAAAGACATCCTCTAATTTGGGAAAACATCGATTTTATTTTCTTCAGGTGGAATTGAAAAATGGGGAAGCAGCCATCCTCTGCCATTTGCTCGCATGTTGAACGCACACCCTTACTGTAGCTATCACTGCACAAAGCCAAAACCAAAAGCACAGACAACAACAGCTAGTAGCTTCTTCTGAACCCTCAATATTCACCACTAGAAAAGCAGAAACTGAAATGGTATGAGCCTCTTACTTAACGGGAGAAAAAAAAAAAACACGCTTGAGAGCTCACGCAAACCACACCTTCATGAACACCTGCTCAATTCTTCCCAACACACATCGCCAAAAAGGGGACAGATTTTTGTGTCACGCAGATGGCATGGCACGCCAAGTCGCCAACGATATATGCCGAGAATTCACCGGACAAAGCCAAGAACATCTAGCAAAAATTTTCAAATTTGGACAAACATAGCCCGGACAGCTTCGCTGCTGCCCATCATGATTACAACCTCGTCGCCATCGTCGCAGCCGGTCAGGCTGCAGCAACGATGGACATGCCGGAGCAGAGCGGCGTCTCCTGCTCCTCTTCTTCCACCGCCGGCAACCGGGCGGCGGCGTCGGCGGCGGCTCGTCGCCGACTCCCAGAAGACGGCGGCTTCTCTCCGGGTCCGTGCTATTGCCGCTGAGAGCGAACAGGCTTCTCCTCTACCCGAGGTACCTAGGCACACGCCGAGCGCGCGAACTTTCTTGATTCAAACTGAGTTCCTGCCTCCTGCTGCATTGCTCGTTCACCGCAGCCTCCGCCATTGCTCACCGAGGAGGAGGAGGAGGAGGAGAAGATGCTCGCCAACTACGTCCCCGTCTACGTCATGCTCCCGGTAAGCTCCGAGCTCACGCAATCTCCTCAAGCTTTCGTTCGAACTGATCGTGTCGAGCGGCGCCGCGCCGTGGCGTGGCGCGCAGCTGGGCGTGGTCACCGCGGAGAACGAGCTGGAGGACGCGGCGGGGCTTCGGGCGCGGCTGCGGCGGCTGCGGCGGGAGGCCGGCGTGGACGGCGTCATGGCGGACGTGTGGTGGGGCATCGTCGAGGGCGCCGGGCCGGCGCGGTACGAGTGGCGCGCGTACAGGGAGCTGTTCCGCGTGGCGCAGGAGGAAGGACTCAAGGTGCAGGCCATCATGTCGTTCCACGCCTGCGGCGGCAACGTCGGCGACGCCGTCACCATCCCGCTGCCGCGCTGGGTCCGCGACGTCGGCGACGACGACCCCGACGTGTACTACACGAGCCCCGGCGGCGCGAGGAACCATGAGTACCTCACCATCGGCGTGGACGTCCGGCCTCTGTTCCACGGCAGGACTGCCATCCAGGTACACTGATTTCATAAATTGTTACATTGAGATTGCAAAATTACATATCACAACCATATGATCAAATTTAGGATAATCTAATCGACTTGATCGATTGTTTATCTGTGACACTAGTTGTATGCCGATTTCATGAAGAGCTTCAGAGAGAACATGGGTGACTTCTTGGACTCTGGCCTGATCGTGGACATAGAGGTTGGCCTCGGCCCTGCAGGTGAGCTTAGATACCCATCCTACCCAGAGAGCCAAGGTTGGGAATTCCCCGGCATCGGACAGTTCCAGGTAGGATCAATTTCCTTCTGCAATTAACATTTTAAATTCTTGATGTTAAAAACGTTTAAATTAGTTTACAATTCGGTGTCAGTCACTTCAGTTTGTAAATGTTACAGTGTTATGACAAATACCTGGAGGAGGACTTCAGAGCGGCGGCGACAGAGGCCGGGCACCCGGAGTGGGAGCTGCCGGGCGACGCCGCCGGAGAGTACAACTACACGCCGGAGGACACGCGGTTCTTCGCGGCGGACGGCGGCACGTACCTGACCGAGGCCGGGAGGTTCTTCCTGACGTGGTACTCCAGCAAGCTGCTCGAGCACGGCGACAGGGTCCTCGACGAGGCGAACATGGCGTTCCTGGGCTGCAGCCTCAAGCTCGCCGCGAAGGTGTCCGGGATCCACTGGTGGTACCGGCACCCGAGCCACGCCGCGGAGCTCGCCGCGGGGTACTACAACGTGCCCGGCCGCGACGGGTACCGCCCCGTCGCGCGCATGCTGGCGCGGCACGACGGCGCCGTGCTCAACTTCACCTGCGCCGAGATGCGGGACTCGGAGCAGCCGCCGGAGGCGATGAGCTCACCGGAGCGGCTGGTGCGGCAGGCGCTGAGCGCGGCGTGGAGGGAGGGCGTCGAGGCGGCGTGCGAGAACGCGCTGAGCAGGCACGACCGGCGCGGGTACAACCAGATGCTGCTGAACGCGCGGCCCAACGGCGTCGGCCCCGCCGGCGGCGGCGGCGCGCCGCCGCGCCGCGTCGCCGCCGTGACGTACCTCCGGCTGTCGGACGAGCTCCTGACGGCGACCAACTTCCGGGCCTTCAAGGCCTTCGTCAGGAAAATGCACGCCGATCAGGTTTGGGCCCATTTTGCCAGTTAGTATGGGCTAAATCTAGGCCCATAAAAGGAGGCCTGAGAAATGGGCTTTCTTGTGCAGGATTGCTGTCCGGATCCGGCCCGGTACGGGAGGCCCATGAGGCCTCTGGAGAGGTCTGGGCCGGAGGTGGCCATCGAGCGGCTGCTGGACGCGACGGCGCCGGAGCCGCCGTATCCGTTCGACGGCGAGACGGACATGAGCGTCGGCGGCGGCCTCGCCGAGTTGATCGACTGGGTGTTCGACAAGGTCGAGTGGATATTCTGTTAGCCTTGCTGGAATACGTGTGCGTCAGGAAAAAATTGGAGTATTGCCACGTACTCTATAAGTACCAAAATAAACGAATTTTGTACAAGTGATGCATCATAGTAAATAAATCTGAATAGATTTTGGGCCTGTTCACTTTGATGCCAAAAAAAAACCTTATCAAATTTTGGCATTGCCAAATTTTGGTATAGTTGCCAAAATTTTGGCAAGACATGATTTCTTATATAGTTACCAAAATTTGGTAGCAAACTAAATGTAGCCACTTTTTTGGCAACTTTACTAAAATTTGGTAAGGTTGAAAATGGCAGTAAAGTGAACAGGCCCTTTATCCCAGTACAATGAATTTAAACAAATCGGTTTACTCTTCAGATTTATTGTACTAGAATATATTACATACCGTAGTAGATTTTAGTTTAATTTAAGACAGAGGAAATATATAGTTGCAAACTCACAACGGCATCTGTGACATGCAGGGGTGGATTTACCCATTAGGCGGGGTGGGTCGACCGACTCAGCTACGGCTCGTGTCGCCCCATACTCTCGAGACCCCCTTATCTACTTATACGAACGAACTGTTAATACGATATGTGTCGTGTTCGATTACTCTTATCGAGTGAACATCTTCGTTTTCCGCCCCATTTATATTTTAACGCTACGTCCGCCACTGGTGACATGGGAAGTGCGTTTGAGGCCACGGTTCACTCAATATCAAGTGAGACCCACTTACCTTTGAAGGAGTATACAGATACACCAGGCAAGATAAGTTTGAGAGGAAGTTTTGCATAAAAAAAAACATTGTGCTTCTTAGTATTATAGCGCCATCTCTAAAAATATAATCTTCTCTTTTTCGTGTTATATTTCTCAAATGTATATAGAGTTTTTCACAAAATTTATAACGGAGTAAAAGTGGTGAAAGGGTTACTTTACTAGTCCCTTCATCTACTTTTGATAGTCATATTTCATCTTGACATACAGACTAAGGATAAGTGATTCTACTTATCATCTATTTAAATATATTACTAGTCATTCCTCGTAAACAAACGATTCATTAATATTTACATTTATCTATGCCCATGTAGCCAATCTTGTGTGGAAAAATGGAGAGTCACGTATTAAATCCAAGAAAGCCATTAAGATGATAAGTTGTTGGATTGAAATATGCCTATCAAAAATAAATTTTTCAGATTTATAAATATGACCATAAAAAATAGATGGAGGGAGTATTTTTCAAGGTACCAAGGATTCTTTCTTTTGGCAAAAATACATGAAGATGCGTGTAGCATGCTTGCGAGCCCTTACCGGACACCACCGGTTAATGCAACCGGGACACGAGGGAGCATAACCACGCCTGGGGAACAACATAATCACCGTGGTACCGCGTGCTACCAATGCTATCCACCCAATCGAGAAGTCGCACAAAGGATAACGTGGCAGCCATTCCGAGAAGAAAATAATTAATTCAAAAATCTGAGAAAATCAGAACCCTACGAGCTATTACTATCTAATATACTCTCTCCATCCCAAAATAAGATTAGCCATAAATTTCTGTGTCCAGTTTTGATCGTCCGTCTTATTTAAATTTTTTTAAAATTAGTATTTATACTATTATTAGATTATAAAACATGAATAGTACGTATGCATGACTTATGTTTTTTAGTTTTTGAAAAATATTTTAAATAAGACGAACGATTAAAATTGTCCATAGAAACTCATGGTTGCACTTATTTTTAGACGGAAGGGATATATGCCTTGACTTGTATGATTCATCTATAGTTAAAGTATTGGGTGTATGTTATGGTGAAGATGTGGTTAATTACATGCTTACATGACACCATTCTCTATGGTTCAGATTCTAATATACACGAATATTATTGATAAGTAGGCGTGTTTTTTTACCATGCCGACAGAAGAAAAGCTGGCCTACATATATTTATTAAGATAGGGAGAAGTTTAATTATATTGATACATACTGTAGGTTACAACAACAAGACTGTTACTAGAAAGCATTAGCCAAATACGTAGGTGTGTTTTCAATAGGATATATCGAGGTCAAAACTTTGTCGTATTGATCTCTGTCTTTTTTAAGCTTATGGTATAGATACATTTACGAGTGTATGCACATTAATTATTGTGTTTGGCGTATTTTGTGTAGTAAAAAGAAGTATTGTGCGATTGCACATATATGCGCCAGGGGCACACTAGTGAGTGCGTATAAAGTGGTGTACCATGTGTCGTGTGTGTTTTTAATAGGAACAAGAAAAAGCTTGTTCGGGCAATTACACGTGGAGGACATATCCGGCGAAAATGAGCTAAATATTAGAAACTCGTGAAAATCATACTAAAAAAATTATTAACCTCATAAAAAATACTACAGATATATGTAGATATGAAATACATTATCATCAAATTTCAAATCTAAACTCAACTTTGTTTAAGGAAAAAAACAAATTTCGGGTAGATAGTGTCATGTGTTACTATTCATTTGAAATTTGTCTTTTTTTTACTCCTAAATAAAGTTGATTTTGAACTTGAGACTTGGTAAGAATATATTTTATATCGACATCTATCTTTAGTATCTTTTTTTCATGAATTTATAAAACTTTTAGGTATGATTTTTACGAGTTTTCAACAATTAACTTGTTTTTACGGATATATCCTCTTACATGTGTGTGGATGTGTTTTTACTTTTTACTATAACTTTTCTTAGGTCATAGGTTTGTTGTTATCTTCCATCGCTTAAGGCGTATTCAAAAGGAAAGAACATGTGCGCCATGATATTGGCGGAATTTTACTGAACGTAATTTGGATAAGATTCAACATTCAATACTCAGGTTATATTTGACACGGCTTCATATCTCATATCCATGATAGATTTATAAAGTTTGTAAGTTAAATTATAGTGGTTTTAAAATTCTAAAATTTATTTTATTTAAAATGAGAACAAATGATTAACCAACGTAATCATATATTCACGGATTTGGGAAGCTTAGAATACCCCGTTCTAAAATATTTTGGATCACGAGGACATCAGAATCATAGAACTACCATTATTAAGTAACAATGTTTTTCCAAATCGTTGTCATTCATTCAATACTACAGTGAATGGACTATACCAACCCACTGTGTCGGTAGCGTACGAAGTACCCCTACGTGGTCGTACGTAGGTAGCCATGTGATGAGTGGCGTACTCCTACTGGCGTGCCACCGCAGCAACAAACTATAGTACCTCCGTTACAAAACAAGTGCATACGTGGATATCCGTGCCCAACGTTTGACCATTCGTCTTATTTAAAAAAAATGTGAAAAATTTGAAAATATTTAGTCATACATAAAGTACTGTTCATGTTTTATCATCTAATAGCAATGAAAATACTAATTATAACAAATTTTCAAATAAGACGAACGGTGAAACGTTGAACGTGAATAATGCAAAACTGCATTTATTTTGGGACGGAGGGAGAATGTTTCCGTACATGCCTGTCTTCGTAAGCCGTGAGATTCGACAGCTACAGTGTTATGGATGCCGATTGATGGCAATTGCGGTGACTTGGTGCCGCGTCCCAATTACTGAAATTATGATATTTTAACCTTTTAAAAATTTATTTTAAGAATAGTTCTTATTATAGTACTAACCTCGGCCTCAGTTCAAGAGGGTTTGGCACTAATTTTGGGGGTTTTTCTGGCAGGGTTGAAATAATATTTTTAAAAACGACCAAATGGTCATAACTTCATTTCTTTTTATGATATAATTTTCTGTTGAAACTTTGATCACTCTATTGTTAGTAATAAATTTGTAAGTATTTAATTAATTGCATGCCACAATATCAAATATATTGCTCTCGTGAAAAAAATACGTAAAAACAACCGTATAACTTTGTTCATCGCAATTTAAAGTAAACCATTTTTTGTTATTAAGAGGGAAAGCACATGTGTGTTTTCCATTTAATAAAAAAATTACTATTAAAACAACCATTTCAAACCATTTCTGATAATAGATACTCCATCCGTTTCATATTATACACTTTGAAAGTTTGATTAAGTTTATAGACAAATTTAGCAACATTTAAAACACCAAATTAGTTTCATTAAATCTAACATTAAATATAATCTAATAATATATTTGTTTTGTGTTAAAAACATATGTTTTCTATGAATTTAATCAAAGCAACTTATAATACAAAATTAATGGGGAGGGAGCATGAGGGAGAATCATCTCTTATTTCCAAATTGTAACAATGCCTACCGACGCTGACAATTACTAGGAACTATGGGAGTAATAAATAGATGATATGATACCCTCACGGGTCATAATCAATTTAAGAGGGCCTGATTTTTTGGGTCGATTCTGCAGGAGATTTTCTGTTTGCTGTGGAGAGCTGACCTATTATTTGTGATCTATGGGCTTCTAAATATTTTATTTTTAGTGGTGGATCTAAACAAGCTACAGTGCGTAAGAGGTACTCCCTTCGTCTCATAATAAGTTTATTTTATGATCCTTTCATTTGTTTCAAAATAAGTTTATTTTTAAGTAACTATTGCATCGATGTTTGTGAAGCAGAAACTAATTATATTGGGAGTAGATAAAGTAAATAATACTAATTGGATTAGGATTTGTTAAAAGAGAGGTATTCTAGTCATTTTGGTATATATGAGATAGGTGAAAAATAAATTTATTTTGGGAGGTGGGAGCAGCAGTAGTTTTAAATTCTACTAATCAACACAAGGTCCTTTTATAGAGACATTCTGCATCCACGATGGAACGTGCACTCTCAAACATGATTCTGAATCCTGTATTTTTTTTTAATTTTTCAGGTGTATTGGGCCAAATGATTGGAATTTTAAAATAAAAAAATGATTGGAAATTTAATACGAAAAACCGACCCATCCGAGAATCTTTCCTTGGCCCCACGGGGGAAGCAGCCCTAAAACGCATTGGTATATTGTTAGTTTAGCACCAACTTTATTTTACTTTTGGTCTTTCTGTCACCATGTTACTCTTTACTCATGTATTCATGACATGACATATATATCAGTTGTATAGCCGCCGATTGGTACGCTGAGTAACTACGGTTAAAATTAAAACATACTCCCTCAGCCAAATTTATTTGACATTAGTTTTTAATTGAAATACGATGTTGTCCCGAATTTTCAAACACTACATCAGAAATTATAATGGCAAT